ATAATCATGGGCCAAATTGACATTTAGCAAATATGCAGAAAAATCAATGTGAAAATGATATATGATAATTACTAATTCTACAATGTATACAAAATGTAACACGTTTATGCAAAAGCGAAAACAATGAGATCATCGGATCCAAACTCTGACAAGTCCACGATTTTATTTTTTATTTTTTTTTTTAAAAAAAAAGAAAAAAGACAAAACTGGAACTGTGGAGTGGAGTTTTATGCAATTGGATCGATACGACTTCCATCAATTTTCGACCGTATGAATGTAAGAACTCTATTTCATTCGGATCCACCATATCCTTAATTCGTATCCGAAAAATATAATATAATATAATATATATAATCGCATTTTCAGATTCTGTTTCGGTTTCTACTCCAGTGATCCGCTCCACTAACAGATCATGTTTTTATGGTTTTTGGAAGAAAAAAAATGGAATGCATAAATTCTATATAATAATATCATAAAACCTTTAATAATCTGCCTGAATATATAAATTATTTTGTGAATTTAAATAAACAAAAATTCTTTTTGAGTTTCGGGTTCCACAAAAATATCGTAAGCTTCTGGTGAAATGGTCTCGGATGAGAGCGATTAGGTTCTCTCTGTAATCATAGGCTTGGGCTTGGATGGGCTTTAGTTGAAGATGGGTTTGAGCTTGAGGAGAAAATGGGCCTGGACTTGGATCCACAACAGATCTTTAATTCGGCTTTTTTCTTGCCAATGTGCCCAACACGACACCGTTTAACTAAAAAAGTTTTTTTTTTTAAAAGAAAACGAAAACCTTTTTTTTTTTCATTTTAATCTATTCGTCAGTTGATTGACATTTGGGATTGGGACACAAAGCAATCAAGTTGATTGGTATATTATTTTGAAAATTAAAAAAATAAAAATAAAAAGAAAGTAAATGAGATTTGACAATAACGTGCTGTCAGGTAGACACGTGTAAGATGAAGTGGACCCCACTAAGTACCAATGGTAAGTTAAGTGGTCCGCATCTCCGTCGGTCGGTATTTTTTTTTAATTTAAATTATTCCTTAAATTTTCTTTTATAGATTTGATGAAAATGATTTTAAACGTCCAACCAATGACATCCAAATTACGAAATTGTGTGACATTTTGTAACCAGTTATTAATCAAAGCAACCTTTACCCAAAAAAAAAAAAAAGAGAAATTGATAAATGGACCAACGAAATATAAATATTTAAAATTTGGCATTATTCTTTTATACAATCCCACAAGCAGTGTTCCATATCGATGGACGTACGCACGAGTATCGTGGTGACCATGATCTCTAAATTAGATATAATTAGGGATATAAAATCAGTTGTAATCTCACGAGCAAATTCTAGACGAGATCATGTACATTAATTAGAATTAGTTTATATTTTTTTAGCTCTGGTAAATAAAATATATGTGTCTATAGATTCGTCCATTACAACTTTTTTATAGATTAATGTTTGTATTACTATTTAACGATATACAATGTTTTAGATGAAGGGATTTCCGCACTAAAATTCTAACAAAATTTCCTCATGAAACAATCGTATATTCCATATTTCAGTATTTTCTTTGGTGGAATTTAAGAGATTAGAGAACTTGGCGATCGAATGGAGCCTACATATTCAATAATATGTGACAAATTTGACATATCGTTATAGAGAATCAAAGTCAATTTAGTTGCGTGTGCACATGCGATACACACGCACACCGAAAGAACTATCCAACACGACTATTTTCCAACAACTAATCGAAATACCCTAAATCGATATTTAACATATATATACAATCATATATATATATATATATTGGATATAGGACAACGATATTTATATCTTTATAATAAAACAATGGATGGCATAAGAAAAAAAAAGGGAGAAAAGAATAGCTTTGCTTCCATAACCATAATGGCCGTCTAAAATTAGAAGTTGCATGATAATGTGGTACACACAAGATGGCTACTTTTGTCGACCCACCACTATATATATATATATATATGTATGTATGTATGTGTGTGTATATATATATCACTTTTGAATCTCACATCTATATAGGAACCTTTAATTAAATTAATATTTAGATTTAGCTTTGTAAACTCAAATCTTGTTGTGGCAAATGATGATTAGCAATGATGGTTTCTCCAAAGTAAACAACACACTTGTCGTACTCCGATCCTGATATATGGTTTAACCTAATTCATGTCTTCCCCCACTTGTGCAAACCCTACTGGAATCTTTGAATCATGCCATAACCTCTCATCAGGTTCTTTTTTAAAAAAATATATATGTATAAATAATAATATTATTATTATTACGTTAATTATAAAAAAAATTCTACCGGAGAGCAATGTGCTAACTGCAAAGTAAATTAGAACCCCCAAGAGTTAAATTTTAAATGAAGTTTAATGTTAAGTTTTTAAAGCTAAAGAAATGCTTATTTGGATTTAAACTAAAAACATTTTTGACTCTCGTGATATAGACGCTTGCCAGCAAAAAATATCAAAAATTGTGAATTTTTATTTTATTTTATAGAAAATACGTTTTCATTTTAGATAGTAACATATAATTAAGTATGAAAATGTTGCCATGAAAAAGATTTTTGGCCTAATCGAAAGGAGATATATATGTACTTGCCCAACTCCAATGCGACCGACAAGATAGGGTTTCAACGTCTTTCTCGTCCACAGTTTTAGCACCTAACTTGCTAACTGTTCTCACACTTTAATGGATTTTAATTTTTGGCTCACCATATTTTTTCTAAAATTTATTTCTTCACCTATCCATATATATATACACACACACATATACATTCATGTATATGTTTGGAGTTCATATCAAACTTTGCCTTGTTGCATTGTGTGATGCTTTTCGAGGACTACGAGATATCCCGTGTCTTAAATTTACACACATATATATGATATATATATATATATATATA